TAAGACTTTAAGAACATGAAATTAAATGTAGTTGTTGGCCCCCTTTAAAGTACAAGGCATCTTCTCTGATCCTTTATTGATAACAGAAGAATACAGAATTCTTATCACACAGGTCCAGCAGGAGACTGGGTAGGGAATGGGTAGAATCTGTCTCACAGCTGAAAGGGTTAACTGGAGCTGGTTTTTGTTTTTTGTTTTTTGTTTTTTTTTTTTAATCCCAAATATGGGCTTTTCTTTTGTCCTGTATCAAACCCTTCTACGTCCCCAATGAATGCTCTTCTCCCGTTTCATTTCCTTCTCTTAAAAGATTTGTAGGCAATTTAGAGAAAAGCCAAAGAACACCCAGAACACATTTAATTTGGGCTTGATTAACACTGGGTATAAACAACTTTTTGTTCCAGGCTAAGACCTGGCTAACTGCCCCCAGCACCCCCTCCCCACACCCCTTTTCTTGTTCAGTCCCTAATGAAAACAGTCCAGTCTTTCATCAAGGCTTCAGCAGTAAAGACTAGACTTGACTTGAAAGCCAAGAAAGCTAGAATTCATTCCATTCAACTGTGTGCCTAGGGGGACCGAGGTCCAGGTCCTGCTCTTGGCCAGGGGCTGGGGTACACGCGAATGAATGAGACACACAGGGTCCCTCCTGCCCACTGTGGAGCGTATGTGTTCTTTCTAATTCTTCAGAAGTTTCACCAAAAAACGCACGTCCAACAGGACGCTCCTTGGAGAACTCTCACGCAGAAGTTTTATGCTACAGAATCTTGAACCTTTATCCCTCATAACCTTCAATCACATGTGAAAAGTGCAATCACAGTAAATCCACTTGTGATGTACTGCATGTACTTGATAGACCATAGGTCTGAATAGTTCCTGCTTCCCAGCAGGCAAGCGCCGAAAGTGCTGCTCTCAGATGGGCAGACACGGACTACGTTCTACAGTGACACCCTGCGTGAAGACCCAGGTCACAGGAGGACGGGGAGAGCAGAGTTCCCAAAGAACTCACAGTCCTGGCAGAAGCCAGACTGGTGGGAGCACTTCTCCCCAGAGGTGGGGAGTGGGGCCTCGCGGTGAGAGTTCCCCTCAGCTACTTGTCAAGACAGGGTGCTCGCAGGTGCAGAAAATAAATTGGCTTAAAATGTCCACTTTTGGTATAGATTTACTCCCTTCGTTTTCTCCTAAACTGTTCTTATTTGAAATACTTGAATCATTTCAACTAGTTGCAGTGATGGTATAGGTATTGTTGAGGTGATCATGTAGGTATTGTTGAGGTGATGTGTAGGTATTGTTGAGGTGATGTGAAGGTGTTGTTGAGGTGATGGTGTAGGTATTGTTGAGGTGATCATGTAGGTATTGTTGAGGTGATGTGTAGGTATTGTTGAGGTGATGTGAAGGTGTTGTTGAGGTGATGGTGTAGGTATTGTTGAGGTGATCATGTAGGTATTGTTGAGGTGATGTGTAGGTATTGTTGAGGTGATGTGAAGGTGTTGTTGAGGGGATGTGTAGGTATTGTTGAGGGGATGTGTAGGTATTGTTGAGGTGATGTGTAGGTATATTATGGTGCTCACCTGGTTGTAATCCCAGCCCTCCAGAAGCTGGGATAGACATCTCAACTTCAAGGCAAGCCTGTGCTACTTTCTTAAATGCTAAAGACACCAAGAATATACCATGAAGGGAGGCTCCAGAGGGAGTGTGATGGAAAGAAGGTAGATAGAGAGTAAGGACTTGGTGCCTTTTCCAGTTAAACATTCCTGGACTCTAGTAAACGTGAGCTAGAGAATGGGTGTGTAGCTCAGTTGGTGCAGCACTTGGCTAGAGCGCAACTGGGTGTGGTGGTATGCAGGCTTGTAGTCACAGCACTTGGGAGGTGAAAGCAGGAGAATCAGAAATTCAAAGTCATCCTCAGCTACACAAGACCAGCCCAGGCTACATGAGAAAAATGAATAACTAAATAAAAACTTAAAAAAAAAAAAAGATCAAAACCTGAGCTAGTTACCAGACAGGGGATGTGATATCTGGCTACGTATTTTAACTTGTGTTTGGTGTCCCAGTGAATGAATTTTTGATAGTATAATTTGTAGTGTCTTTTATGCTAGTTTAGTTTGGTTTCGTGCAGTGTAACTACACTGCTGTAGCTTTGGGAGCTCTATTTACTTAGCTTTCTGGGGATAACGCATTTAGTATATGGCAAATTTTAGTAACAAGTAATGACTTCCCTGTGGTTTTTCTTAATTCGCTATTTTAAAATATCAGCTGTTGAAGTCTCATTGACTGATCATTAACCAGTCTAAGTATTTGTAAGTAATTAGTTTACTCTATGAATGGGTTGATGAGTTATTAAAGTAGAATGTCAACTCCATTGCAAACACTTCATTTTTCTGAAAGCTTTGCTAGTCTAGAGGCCTTTGTTTAGTGGACTCACGCAAAAATGATTCATTAACTACTTAAGCATTGGCCAAGGACTCAGCCTGCTGAGTCCAGTTGCAGCTAAGTCATACCATTTAGTCCAATGTGGTGCGCTCTAGCTACCTGCTGGAAACCTAGAACTCATTTCTAAGATCACAAAGGCGACCTCTAAACCTGGCTCGTGTGTTCCTTGTGTTTAGCTATTTTAAGCTCGGGCAAACTTGCTCCCCTTTCCCAGTGAGGACACTGGGGCTGATGCCCAGGTAGTACCTAGCCTTTCATCACAGCAGAGCAAAAACAAAAACATTCTGTGTTCGAAACAACAGCAGGCAAGGTAGATGACCAGGGTTTGAGTACAGCGTATAAGAACAGTTCACTTTCGTAGCCTTAATAGTCTTTGATTTGGATTGGCCCATTTAGCCTTTTGGAATCTGCTTGGTATTTTTTAAACAGCTTTACTGAGCTATAATCCACATGTAACTCAGTGTTATAGTGCTTTTAGTGTATGACAGTCCCTAAGTAACTATAGAGGGCTGGTTCCAGGCAACCATGTAGTTACCAAAATCTGTAGGTAGATGTTCAAGTCCCCAACGTAAGTAAGATGACATGATACTTGTATATAACTTAGGTGCATTCTCCCATACTCCTCAGGGGCACTTGTATATAACGTATGAGTATTCTCCTATACTCCTTAGTGGTACTTGTATATAACTTATATACATCTTTGTACACTCCCTAGTGGCACGTGTATGAACTTGTGTGCATTCTCCCATACTCCTCAGGGGCACTTGTGACATCTAGCGCTGTGTGAATCATTGTTCTACTCTAATGTTTAGGGAACAACAATGGGGGAGGTTTAGATCTTTTGGTACAGATGCATTTGTTTCCAGATATTTTCCATCTGTGGCTGATTGAAACCATGTATGAGAATCCAGTGGACACGCAGGGCTGACTGTGTCATAATCATCAATCCAGCAACACAATTGGTTTTGGAAGGAACGAGTAGGGACGGCATTGATCAAGGGGTACTACGTACAGTTGTAGCAGTGTAAGCTCTGATGTGTTGTAGCATAATAGAACAACAGTAGCTGTCATATTCTAGATCGATTAGAAAATTAGAAGAAAGGGTTTTGAATATTTTCACTGTAAGACATAATCTAAGGCAGTCAGTATGTTTAAATTGATTTAAATGTTTTGTTTTCTAGCCCTGGGCATCAGTTAATTCACTTTGTGTAATTATGGATTTTTCTGTCTGAACATTATCTGTTAATGGATTTCTACAATAAGTAGTCTTTTGTGGCCACTTTAAAAAAAAAAAAAAACCAACAATAAAAATATCCTATTGTTTGAGCTGATCCCAAGGCCCTGTGGGTTCTGTGCAGACACTACTAAAAGCCATATTCCCTCTATCATGCATTCAAAGCTTACCCATATTGTAGCATATATCAGTACTTTATCCCTATTAAAAAATATATTGCATTGCATAGATCACATATATCTTGCTCGATGGTTAATGGTTGTTTTGGCTGTTAGCAATAGTGCTGCTGTGAGGTGTTATATGTAACTTTTGGTATGGACATATGTAGTATTTCTCTTAGGCATATGCCTGAGGATTTTCCAGACTGTTCCAAAGAGGCCACAGCCTTCTGACCTCCTGACTTTATACAGTGGTAAAATTCTCTGCATTTGTGAAAATGCTTGTATGTATCTGACTTTTTCTGTAGTCATCTCATTGACACAGGCAGAGTGGGTATCTCCTTGTGGCTTGGATTTGCATCTCCAGGAAGACTGAGGATGCAGACCATCTTCTCCAGTGCTTTTTGACAGTTTATGTTTGGAGAAATGTCTGTTCAGATATTTTGCCTACTATTTCATTATGTCGTTCGTCTTTTTATTTCTTGTTTTATGTTTTTTATGAAGATCTTATTTATTTAAAAAAAATTATTTTCTTGGCAGTGCTGAGGCTCAAAGCTGGGTCTTACGCATCGCCACCGGGCTTACGTCCCCAGGCCACAGGAGTATGGGTGTGGAGGGAGGCCAGTGGTGTTGGAGTTACAGGTGGTTCTAAGTGCCCACTTCTGCCATTCCTATTCCTGTAGACAAAGGTGGAATGCCTATAATCTGCTTACTTTAAAGTGTTAAAGGTGACCCATCCAGTACACACGCCCTCCTCCCTTAGCAGTAGGAAATAGAAGCCTTTCCCTATCCCTCTTGGCTGGGCTTCCTGGCTCTCTCTGGGAGAAGTCCTGCTTCGCTAGGTTTAGCCCAAACTACTGGGAAACCAACCACATTCTAATCAAGTGTGAATTACATTCCATGCTTAATGAAAAGAAAGCCCTCATCCTAAGACTAACGTTCCGACGGTTTCCTGTTTTCTTCCAGTTTTTAGTTAAGAAACAGCCATTAACACGTTGCCCAGGAAGGGTCATACAATTCTCAGACTTAGCACTGTCTAAGCTTTGTTTTCTGTTACGTTTCTTGGTGTCCTAGAACTGTAGGCGGGACCCCCTTCATGGTCTTTGGCATGGTTTTAGGCACGTAGCTAACATGGGACAAGTTCAGTCTGTTGACCCGGTTCCCTCTCTCCTGCCCATCAGGAATCTCAGACGAGGATATTATCAACATCACTCTTCCCACCGGAGTGCCAATTCTTCTGGAGTTGGATGAGAACCTGCGTGCTGTCGGACCTCACCAGTTCCTGGGTGACCAGGAGGCCATCCAGGCAGCCATTAAGAAAGTGGATGACCAAGGAAAAGTGAAGCAAGGCAAAAACTGAAATCCGGAGTGGCCAGGGGCCAGCGCAGGAGTGGCCAGAGGCCAGCGCAGGAGTGGCGTTCAGTGTGTTGCTACGTGGGTTTCCCCTTTCTCCATTTCCCCCAAGGCTAGGCTGTGTGGTAGAGTTTGTGTAGGTAGATAACTAGGTAATTTATCACGGCCCAGATGTGACCTTAGGATGCTGAAAAGCTTTTGACTTAAGCCTATGTTGACTTTTCTGCTACTACTGCTTGAAGTAAGTTGGAAGTGGGGTTTGATCAAGGCTGTCTTATGAGTTCTGGAGACAAGAGAGCAACAAGTGGGGATAAAATCGATTATCACTTAACAAGTCATTACTGAGTCACCCGTGACTAGCACCGGTGCCTTCCAGTGAGCAGTTCACCTTTCTACTTAGTAATTCTGAAATACCGCGGTAGTACCCGGGTAGTTTAGACCAGAGGTCCATCAAACAGGAACACCACAGAGGGGTCCTACGGAAGATAACCAAGCATCACAATAGCGCAGGGCGCTGTAATTTCCCCTAGCCCAGCGCTGCCCTCTTTGCCATCAGTAGAGATGGTCTTCAGCCACTACAACGACCAGGGCGTGATGCACAGCTGTGGCCATTCATATTCCCTTTCTGTCTCGTTTTTAGTTTTTGAACTTTAATCTTTGGGTACTTATCAGTTAGTTTAAAATAAAGTTTTGTGACTGCAAACAAAGTGCCAACTGTCTCAATATGTGATAAGAGTTTTGGGCGGCCTCTGAACCTGTCCTTGACACAGTCTCCTGTAACAACACTCCAAGGGTTGTACTTAGCTCAACACAGGCCACTCCTGAATTGGAAGCTGGGTTGGGAGAGGAGATTATGGGGCATGTGATTTTAGTCACCTAACCAGGGTGATGGGTGTATGGGAGCTTCTCACGCACAGTTGCTGTTCCTCAGCTAAGTACGACAGACATGGTATGTGTGTTTAGGTGGGCTGTGAGCAGGAGTGCCTCTTGTCCACGGTGTGTGCTTATGTGCTGTTTGTCAGCCATCATTTCCTTAAGCTGACGCCTCGCTGAATGCAGGCCGTAGGCATTTCGGTCATGGTCGTGTGCACATTTTGCAGTCATGGTAGTTACCATAGATTAGTTCACTTGTATCCATTTTCCATTAAAATTCGTCTTTGACAGAACCCAATCCTAATTTCTTCCTGCTGCTTGGAATCCACTTTGGTTTTTTGGTTTTTGATTCGATATCTTTAGGGGTTGGCAGAAAAGATGACTAAAGTGGTAAACAAGGCATTTGGAATGTTGGAGACTTCTGTAGGGGATTTTTGCCAACACTTTCTAATATTTACTGTTTTTGAGATTTGACCAAAATACATGTGAACAGAAAAGATAGTACTTTTAACAAGTGCCAAGCTTCAACCTCAGGATGAGCTAGTAAAGCTGTTTTCTTTGCCTTGTTAGCTTGTACCTGGGATTTCTAGAAGGGGGCCCAACTGCATCCTAATCTTGGTCTCTTTCTGAAACTGTGACAAACATGAGCAATTTTTCTTCTTCTAAAGCAAAGGAAGGGAGCCTTCTGTAAATGTGGTCCTTGGAGTATGTTGTGGGTTCCCTGGGAACCAGCTTGACAAGGCTCCTTTGCTATGTCCAGCGTAGTAAGAGGAGGCAAAAGCCAGGACAGCAGCGGCTTTCATGTGTCCAAGGAGTCATGCATCCTGAGACACTGCCAACGGGACCTTTCAAAGGAATTCTGGTCCAGAAAATGAAGGTTTTTGCAGTAAGAGTGGTGCTACCACTCAGCATCCTGGCTAGCTTGTTTTCTAACATGTGTTGCTGTGGCAACAATGTACGAGAAAACCAGTGTGATCTCTTCCCGGGTTGGTTTTTGCCTCCAATCAGCAAGTTGTTACTCATCTTAGACTCTTTCCTACTGGTACTGAAATGAAGTGTCTTTCTTTTCTTCCCATTGCTCCTTCCAGGAGAGGTTTCAGGTCAAGAATCCACCCTCCAGCGGGACGGTGGTGGCGCAGACCTTCAATCCCAGCACTCAGGAGGCAGAGGCAGGCGGGTCTCTGTGAGCCCAGCATAGACTACAGATCAAGTTCTAGGACAGCCTCCAAAGCTACACCGAGAAGCCCAGTCTCAAAAAACAAACAAACAAAAAGAATCCTCCCTCCCCATAGACACATTTACCCTGCAATTGTAATTCTTTATTTTCCTAGTCCCTTTCTGATTTTGACAGAATGAACTGGAGGAAAACGGAATTATAAGACCGAAGACTCCTCCTCATCCACAGTGTTAATTTTAATAATTTTTATTTCATAGCTACATGTAAGAATTTTGTTTTTACAAAGTTCAGCTCCTCGTAGAAAAAAGATTCTCGTAGAAGCACCCCACCATTTCCTCAACAGGCAGATCCTGATGATGTGTTCTGTTTTTATCTTTCGTGTGATTGGTTTCTTGCAAATTTGGGGCTCACTTAATGCATTCGAGTTACAGGAGATCTGGTTATGACAGATGGCAATTCAGGCAAGGGCCTCACATTGGACTAAGAAAGAAATTGAAGCCACTGAATCCAAGACAAATATAGAACATGAAAAGATAAATAATAGGACAAGTTTAATTATCTAATATCTAATGGCAAATTATTTGACAGACTGAAAGTTTGAAGTGATTCTGTAACTAATAGTTGTATTTTTTCAAGAGTGCTGTAGATGAATGTGTCCCTCCAGAAGATGTGTTAGAAGCATAATCCCCAAATTCCTGTGTTAATGGTTTTTATTCCAGGGGACACTAGCTAATTAGGGTTAAATGAAGTTTTGAGAGTGGGGCCAAAGGGGGCTTTCTTGGCTTTATCTTAAGAGAGAGACCTGAACTGTCATTATTCTTGCTGCGACTTGCCATGTGGTGCGCTCTGCTGTGTAAAGGTAGACTCACCAGATCCTAGCAGCATGCTTCTGGTCCTTCTAGCCTCCAGAATCACGAGCTAAATTAACCTTTTTTTTTTTTTTTTTTTTTTTTTTTTTTACAACCAAACAGAAAAAGAAATGAAGACTGGGTGACCTAGCTTAGTCTTTAATAGCTTAGAACCATAAGCTGAAACCAAAATGTGTTGTTACTTTGACAGGTCTTTCCTTGTAGTTGTGTGTGTGTGTGTGTGTCTGTCTGTCTGTCTGTCTTGAGACAGGATCTCTCACTGGTCTAGAGCTCAGGAAGCAGACTAGATTGTTGTCTGGCCATGTCCTTACCCCCCCAAAACTGGGATTAGAAATGTGTACCACCATACTGAAAAAAACAAAACCCAAAAACCATGGGTTCTGTGGCTCAAACTTATCACTTTAATGCGATCTTCCCAGTTCCTTCTTTGACAAAGCTTTAAAAACAAGCTAGCAAGCAACACCACTTAGTGTGTATACATAATACAACCACGACTTAATTTCCATTTACTGTAAATGGTCAGTACATTAAAAATCTTTTTATAACAGAAAATTTAATATCTGTATAAGCAGAGCATATATGAAGCATAAAGAGCACTTGTGGTGGACACGTAACTACAGTGTCAACTTACCCTTACAGAGTACCAAGTCAGTACTCTATATAGAGTATAAAAGGCAACTCAAGGAAAGCATGGAAGCTCAAGTTCTGATCTGTACATGGTTTCCATGATTTCAGGTTGTTGCCCAGAGGCATCTCAGTCTGTTTGGTGTGGCTTCTGGGGGACCATCGGGTAGCTCCAACATGAAATGCGGTTAGAGATAATGTTGCAGACTCTCCTTAGCTTGTGTGTGATTTGTGTGGAATGTTGTGATTACCTCCAGATGACACTGTAGAGACTAATGTGTCCCTGAAATGACTTCCTAGTGTTAAAGGTGAGTAAATTACCAGTGCTGTAAATCTGACACCATTATGGGAGAAGAGAGACACTCGATAGAAGAAGGCAGAGTGGGTTTTGAACTGGAAACATTTGTGTGAACCTGTGTATGTATTTCCATGTGTTGCCGCCAGCCCTGCCAGCTTGCGCCTCTGAAAGGGCCTAGCAGCCATAACCTACCAGTCCACCTGCTTCCCGTTGTCTCAGTTCCTGAATACTTTTACACACAACTGGGCATGTTTAGGGAATTGGTTCCAGATCTGAAACTGACGGTACGCAGGGTGAGCCTGAAGTGTCTCCACCAGGCGGAAAGGAGAGACGTGTCTCAAGACTGATGGGACAGAAAGGCTGACTTGAAGGAACACATTTGGGATCATTTAAGAAAATTCATTTAACAAAACAATGGTGGTGATAGTAATGGGTTATAGAACATCGAATTTTAAAAACAACCGATCAAATGATAGATTTTTTAAGAGAGGAACAAAATGCTACAATCTCCTAAAGTATAAAAATAATTGGTCCTTAACTCTGCTTTATTATGCCAGACAAAGGCAGCTGTTTCCTGTCCCTTATGTCTTGAGCTCCCAGTCCTTGGAAGATAAGGGAAATAGAAGCGTATTAGCATTTATTCTATAGAGTATACATTGTATACTCAGATGGCTGTGAAGGTAAAGGCATTTATTGCCACGCCCAAGGACACGGTGGGCAGAGAGAGCCAACCTAAGTTGCCTTCTGCTTCCCCCGTGATGCTGTGGCACTCAGATGCACACACACTGTGGAAACACAGACTAGTTACATGTCTTTCACTTTTTCCTCTTTGCCTTTGAAACTTCAGCTGTGTGTTGAGCCACATCAGCTTGTCTGCAGATGTCAGAACGCGCTGTGATTGACATCAACTTTCCCTTGAACAGTAATGGAGTTTCTCTCCCGATGCAGACATAAGATCTGTCCTTGCTCCTCAGTATCTTGGAGAGACATGACTTCTTGATGCTACCCCGTGGCACCTAAATTCTACTTAATTGCTAGGCCTCCATTTCCTTGAATTTGAGCTCCCTGCAGCAGGCACCTCTCAGATGTCCCTTTTGTCATTTGGCTCAGTGATAATCCAGCTCGATTGTAAAAGTGACTTGGAAACAGCCATCTTTCTTGCTGCTCCATGCACCCCACTGCCGAGGCGACAGAGGGTCACTGGCCTCAAATGAACGCATCTCATTGCCTACAACAAATGCCAAATAGATTCTGCCACACTAAAGGGTTCCTTTTTATTCACAGTGCAGCTGGGCGTTTAAATCTGCATTTGGTTTTTTGTCACTGACAAACGACCTGAGGTTTCAGTCCATGGTCAGTTGTCCCCGTGGCCCCCAGGTTGTGGTAGGGAAAGCATCCTAGCAGGAAGCATGTGGGAAAGCAGAGGAAGCCGGGAAGGAAGGGGGGGGGCGGAGTGGCCAGAGACCATATACACACCGCAGAGATAGGCCACCAGTGACCAGGCTCAAAACAGGCTCACGCTCCGCGGTTTCTCGCAGTGGTCCGCTCAGTTATATCTCTGTCAGTGCATCAGTGCTTTTCATTGCTTCAGAACGATTCAGTTTTCATTTTAGCACTAAAAAAGTGGAACATCAAATCTACCCCACCCTTCATTCTTTTCCTATTTCCCCCACTGCTATTCCCGTGTGTGTGTGTGCATGCGTGTATTTAACCCACTGAGTCCATTTAGTGTTGTCATCATGTGAATGAGTGTGGCTCAGCTCATCATGGAACGTAGGTAACCTCTCATAGACTGCATCTGTGAAGAAAGCAGGTCCCTCCCACCCCCAACCCCGCCAACAAGGGATTTCATGACTCCCTCACCCA